GTGCACTTACATACATGCAGGCAATACACACACACACACACACACACACACACACACACACACACACACACAATTAGTTACTAAGGGACTCTATAAAGTTTGTTTTTACCCCCAAACCTTACTTTTGTTATTATCTACAATTATCAGTAAGAAAATAGAAAGTGCTAATGGACTTGTAAAACTAAAATGAACAAAGATCCCTTAAATTCAGTGCTTTAAAACATTACCATAAGCTTTAGTGTCCTATCAAAACCCTCAGGGCCCACAAATTATCTTCTGATGAATTAATAAGAAGCTGGTGCATGTGTTTGAAAAATTCACCCCCAATCTTAGATTCTCTGTGATTACAATGAAATATGATTAAGAATTACAAGGGACTCAACCTCCCACTTTATCAAGAGATTCCAGCTGTTGACAAACCACCTGCCTATCATCTGCAACATGAGAGTCTGTTCTGGCAAATACCTGAGGAAACTGCCCTTGAACCCCCATAAAAAGGATTTTATCAGAGACTATTAACAACTGAGAGTATGCAACTCCAAAGTATTGATCTATAGATGAACATTTCTCAGCTCAAAGCACACATATTTCATCCAGAACACTGAGCATCCATTCTACTGGAAAACTTAAGATGAGATTCTTAGGAATCATCCAGAAACTGCTGAGTTCACAGGTGGAAGGCTTCTGCCTCAGACTTTGGATAAAGAGTAACATTCTAATTCAAAGTCTTTTCTTGTCTATTATTCCTTGTTCTTATTCCATGCTGAAGCCCTCTAAAGTCTAAAGTTCAAAGCACTTTCTTTATCTTCATCCTTTTATTTCTGACCCTCTGTGCTATCCACTGTCCATTTATCACTTAAGAGAAAACACTTCTTTGTTTTCTCCCAAATCATTGCTACAGTCCTGAATCTGACCATGACACATCATCAGTTCTGATCTTCAGTCTTGCAAAAGGTAATACACCTTCTGAGGTCATTACATGCTATCAAAAAGACCCATCAATTAAGGATAACATTGGGGCTGCTATGGCTGCCCAATTGTTTGCTTTCCTCAGAGATATCTAAGCTTATTTTACAGGAGGTGTTTAATTCCACTCAAGAACTTGTCCATCTTGTATTCATGTTTTAAATTGCTAAATAATAATAATAATAATAATAATAATAATAATAATAATAAGACCTGGATATAGTGGCGCACATCTCTAATCCCAGCACTCAGAAGGCAGAGGCAAGTGGATCTCTGTGAATTCCAGGCCAGCCTGGTCTACATAGTGAGACCCTGTTTCAAAACAAAACAAAACAAAACAAAAAATCAACTTTTTCCACCTCAAAAGACACAAAAATGTCTCGCTCCTAGGATAGCACACAATACTCACTCAAGTATAATATCTGTGTCCCACTAAAATACTATCTCTTATGTGATATGAGGCTGACATCTTTCTGCACATTACCCTGTGATTCCAGCCAGTCCAGTCCTTAGAGATTTCCAGATATTTAAAACTAAAATCTACCAGGAAATAATGTTTACACGAGGATAATCAGACCAGACCCACTCCAAAATGAGGCAGGCACAGATAATTTGGAAGAAACCCAAGGAAGGATAACTGATTCCCTTTCCTACAGGTTACAACTTCCTCAGTGGGAATGAAACAAAATATATGCAGCAAAAATTGGCAGACATGAAGAGATAGTTCTACCCTTAATAATGGATTAGACAGGCAATCAAAAGATAAGCAAAGAAAGTGACAATTTAAACAACACAATAAACAAACATGCAGGATAGTCTATCTCAAAACCCACATTACATTTCATTAACAAGAGCACCATTATCCAGTGTTCCTCATCCTGTCTGTTCCCTACTGCTTTTTAAATATTTTATTATTATTATTTTAATATTTTATTTATTTTTATTTTATGCATATGCATATATTGTCTGTATGTAGGTAAGTGCACCTGTGTTATGCAATGCCTGAGGACAGAAGAGGCTGTCAGATCCCCTGGAACTGGAGTTATAGACAATTGTTAGCTGCCATGTGGGTCCTAGGATTCGAACCTGGGTCTTCTGCAAGAACAGTGTTTTTAACCACTGAGCCATCTCTCAAGCCCCTTTATTATTTTTATGTATGTATGTTTCCTGCACGTGTGTAAGTGCACCCATGTTATGCAATGCCCATGGAGGTCAGAAAAGGGAGTTGTATTTCTCTGGAACTGGAGTTACAGACGGTTGTTAGCTGCCATGTAGGTGCTGGGAATTGAACCAGGTTCTCTGCAAGAGCAGCTGGTACCCTTAACTGCTGAGTTTTCTCTCCATCCCCCACCTACTGCCTTTTAAAGGTTACCCAATGTGTGACCCTGCCAGCCCCTGGGGACCTCTGCCTTTGAGAATCTGCTGGTCTCATCCTTCCCTTTTCTGTAGAGTTCTTCTGAATGGGTTCTTGTGCTCTGGGGACCATCCCACATGTTAAGAATCCTTGGTCTAGCCAGTGTTTAAGTTGAATTTGTCTGTGTCTGCCTTCAGACAGCAAACAGTAACAAGCTATACCCTAACTGAGAGAATGCTCTTGTAACAAGCAGCTGAGTCTCAGGCAATCGGAGCAGTTAAGATTCAGTTCATCAGAGTTGCCAGATCCTAAGACCTTTTTCATGAACTGCAAATGCTGAGCTGTAACCAATCAAACTGTTTCTGTGTGTCATTTCCTTTTCCTGTCCATAAATTCTGCCTGTCCACATGGCCAGAGGACCACTCTCAATCTTTGCCGTCCTGGATGCTACCTATTCATGAATTATTCCTTGTTCAAATAAACTTTGCTAAGTTTAATTTGTTTTAGAGATTTTTTTTTTTGGTCTTTTTGAGACAGGGTCTCCCTGTAGTCCCAGCTGGCCTGGAACTTGCTCTGTAGACTGGGTTGTTGGCCTCAAACTCACAGAGATTCCCCCTGCCTCTGCCTCCCAAGTGCTGGGATTAAAGGCATGTGGCACCATGCCCAGCTCAAAGTTTTTCTTTTAACACTAACATGATTGCCTTCCCCTACACTCACCCTCTTTCCCTTTCTGTATATAATACTCTCAGCCTTGTCTCATCTTTTCAAAGTCTCTCCAGACTTTAGTATTTAATAGCCAAACTGCAGTTTCCTTGAAGAACTGCTGTTCATGAAGTCTAGTCTGTGGTAGGAACTTAATTTTTTTTCCAGTAAAGAGATGGCTAAATATATGGATTCTAATGCAACGATATCTGTACCTGTTCTTTGTTTTTCAAAATTATTCTAATTTATGTTAGCTGTCTAAAAAAAATCATGCTCTGGACTAGAGAGATGGCTCAGCAGTTAAGAGCACTTACTGCTCTTGCAGGGGATCCCAGGTTTAGTTCCCAGAACCCACAGGGCAGCTAACAACCATCTCTAACTCCAGTTCCAGGGGAGCTGATGCTCTCTTCTGACCTCTTTGGACATTTGGTACACTCACATACATGCAGGCAATATACTCATACACATAAAATAAAAATAACAAATAAAATATTTAAAAATATATTCTGCTGAGCATGATGTTCTAATCCCCAGCATTTTGGTGTAGGCTGAGATAGGATTGTGAGTTTGTGGTTAGCATGGGCTGTATAGCTAGGTACTGCCACAAAAATAAAACAAAAAACACTCGTTCAGTTGGATCTAGAAAATTTATTTTTCCAAGATCAAGATGTATAAATTAAGATTGACACATATACTCTTTCTTTTTTTCTTTTGAGACAGGGTCTAATTATGTAGCCCAGGCTGACTTTGAACTTGCCGTGTAGCAGAGGATGATTTTAACTCTTGATACTCCTGTCTCTACCTCCCAACTTGGGGTTGGGAATATAGGTGTGCACCACCACACTTGGCTTAAAAAAAATGTCAGTTATATCTCTTTCTCTCTCTCTGTGAATATGCCACAGGTGTGTGTGGAGGTCAGAGGACAATCTGCAAAAGCATTCTCTTCCACCATGAGTCCAGAGGACAGAACTCAGGCCATCTGGCTTGTCTGGCTGGTCTGCAACAAGTGCGTTTACCTGCTGAGCCATCTCACCAGCCCTGATCTTTCTTAAGACAAGGTTTTGCCCAGGAGTCAGGCTAATCATAAACTCACAATCCTTCCTTAGTTCCCAGAGTGCTGAGTTATAGACATACCCACCCCTGCATTAAGACTATATTCTACACACACACACACACACACACACACACACACACACACACACAATCGGTACACTGCAAAACAGTGTGGCCCCTATAAGCAGCAAACACATCTCCTGATTACCCTCTCTTGACTGCATCTTCTAGAACCTGCCCTCAGTGTCTTGGTCCAGCACCGCTTCCGATCTTTCAGGAAGTCTTTTGATTGACTGGTCCATCTAGGTCTGTGTAAATACAACTGGATGGTAACACGATAAAGAAACTGGTTAACTCCGTTAGGTAATGTATGGGTATTCACAGGCCAAACACTTTGGGTGCATGTTACTATTGTCTTTCTCTGGGACAGCCTAAACAAGAATTCACTTGTAAGTTCCTTAACAGGAGCAGGCATCCTGCCCATGTATGAACATTCAAAAATGTTCCACTTTTCCATTTCTTTGAATCAGAGGTTTACCTGTGATAGAAATAATCTCTTTGAATTCAGCAGATGTATAGGGGCTGCACTCGGCCAGGGGAAGGAACATCTCCCGACCACCCTGATTAGCAGAGCCTTGCAGATCCTCTGCTTTGTCTGACAACAGGGATAAAGCGCTGCATTAACACTCAAGGGGTGGGGGCACCCCTTGTGGCCTGACCCTCCCACAGTCCCCACAATCCCCGGGGAACAGGGCGAGGGGTCAGCGATGCTCACGATCTGCCAGAAATATCCTGGCGCCCCGGAACCAGCTCACTCAGCCGGGACAGAGGCGGGGCTACCGGCGGAATCTGATATTACTCTTTCCGGTCTCTTAGGGGAGGAGCTGAGTAATTCGGTGGTATTGGTTGAGTGAGGGGTGGGGTGGGGTGGGGGAACAGAACCTGAAGGGGCGGGGCTACGACTACCGCCAGCCCGGCCCAGCTCCCCCAGGGCCGGAGGATAAAGTTAGAGCTCAGTCCCAGTAGACTCAGTCCACGGCGCCGGCACCATGCCAGTGACACTGGGTTACTGGGACATCCGCGGGGTAAGCGACCACCTGAAGGGTGCGCGTGGCTGGGACGCGTGGTTCAGACGTGGGGAATGACGGGAGACGAGTTGTAGAGGAATCCTCCAAAGAACTTTCTGGAGCTCTCCACCTGTCCCACTGAGGATTAGCACATGTGTTGCTTGATGGTGTGTGTGTGTGCGTGCGTGTCTGTGTGTGTGCGCGCGCGTGTGCGTGTGTGCGCACCAGCAGGAGGTGAAGTCACATAGGGGTCCCCATCCCTGACCTTTGTTACCGCCCTTCTCTCCAGCTGGCTCATGCCATCCGCCTGCTCCTGGAATACACAGACACCAGCTATGAGGAGAAGAGATACACCATGGGGGACGGTAATGATCGCTTCTTGGTCAGACCCTTGCCTAACTTCTGCCCATTGGGGCCCACCAACCGATGACTAATGTCATGTTGCTCAGCTTTGTAGGGCTCTTGTAGCTGGTCTTAGAACCCGCCCTTTCCAGAAACCTCCTTGAGAGTACAGCTTGGTCTTTCAGTACAGAACCCTGGAGGTGGAGGGCTGGAGTCCAACCCTCCCCCTCTGTTGAAATTGGGTAACATTCTGCATTAGGGCCTGCCTAAACTTTTGTATGCCTTAGTGATGTGGGATCCACCGCTCTCTACGTGCCCTGCAGCCTTGCAGCCTTAGAATGTGAGACCGAGCATGTGAGGCTGCAGGTCCTCTGTCTCAGGAGTTCTTGCCCCTGACTCCTTGGATGGGTCCCTAGGGAAGGAGGGTGGGACACTGGGGTGATTTCTTTTCACATCATCTTGTTCACTGCAGCTCCTGACTATGACAGAAGCCAGTGGCTGAGTGAGAAATTCAAGCTGGGCCTGGACTTTCCCAATGTAGGTGCAGGGAAGGGGTGGTTTGGGGGAAGGTGAAGGCGATGGTGCCCCACCTCATCTCCTTGCCCAGCTGAGGGGGTTTGATGCTTCTCTCTCCTGCTCCATTCCTGGTGGTCTGCACTGTGTTCCTGTGACAGGCTATGTCCCAGCTCTTGCATTCAGTGTGCAGTGTATTCATGGAGGGCTTCCCATGCCAGGCACACTGAGTGGCAGCCTCCATGTCTGTTCAAAACCCAGGGGATGCTGGGATATCCATAGCCCATCTGGTCTTCCTTGCTTATCCATCCAGCTGCCCTACTTAATTGATGGCCCTCACAAGATCACCCAGAGCAACGCCATCCTTCGGTACATTGCCCGCAAGCACAACATGTGTGAGTGGGGCTGGCTGCAGGGTGGGGACGGTGGCCATCCCCCTGGTCTTGGATGGGGTGGGCTGCTGAGGGTCAGTCTGTGCTGCAGGCGGGGAGACAGAAGAGGAGAAGATCCGTGTGGACATTTTGGAGAACCAGGCTATGGATGTCTCCAATCAGCTGGCCAAAGTCTGCTACAGTCCTGACTATGTGAGTTGAATGCTCCTTGCTGGGCTGGACCAGGCAGGGTTTGGGTTAGGAGTTAGGTCTTTCAGATTCCCATCTGTACAGGTCCTTTTGAATTTCTTAGAACTACTTATCCTCCAGAATGTTCCTGTGCTGTGATCAGATACCAAACTGAATCAAATAAGCATTCTTATTAAAGACCCACTTATCATAGGGTATAGTCTAGACTCCCCAGAGTGGACATTAAGTTCTTAGATAGTGAAGTTATGTTTTCCCAATTTTCTCCACCTGTGCCCTCTGCTTAGATCCTCTACCATGGAGTTCATGTCCTCTCTCTGCTCATGGAATACACACATACTCAACTGATAGGAAAAGGGAGTCCAAAGAACCCTTCAGGTCCAACCTCTTCACACAGTGTTCCCAATACTGCTTTCACACCCACATGAGTCAGTAGATTTTCTTAATAGGTAGCTCAAGGGTCAGCTGGAAGACCTCTGTCCCTTTTCTTCCTTCCTTTCAGCCTCAATTACTCCTTGTTTTGTAGGGAACATGCAAATATATAGTCATTCCTCTGAAACCAGCTAGACTATGTGGGACTTCTGTCTTTCCCCCAACTACCTTAGTTCTTGCTTCTTTGAGTCTGCCTGATTTCAGACCCAGTGCCTGCCAGGTGCTCAGGGCACTCATTGGTTTGGACAGCAGGAAGGATAATGTCCCATTGTGGACAGTGTCTAATTCTCTGACTTCCTAGTGCTTCAGAAGGGTGGCTGGGTTAGGAGTCTGATAAGTAAGTGCTGAAACAGAAAATCAAAACCTGGGGGCTAGAGAGATGACTCAGCAGTTAAGAGCACTGGCTGCTCTTGTAGAGGACCTGGGTTCAGTTCCCAGTACCCACATGGCAACTAACAATCATGTCTCAGGGAATCTGGTCTTTCAGTACAGAACCCTGGAGGTGGAGGGCTGGAGTCCAACCCTCCCCCTCTGTTGAAATTGGGTAACATTCTGCATTAGGGCCTGCCTAAACTTTTGTATGCCTTAGTGATGTGGGATCCACCGCTCTCTACGTGCCCTGCAGCCTTGCAGCCTTAGAATGTGAGACCGAGCATGTGAGGCTGCAGGTCCTCTGTCTCAGGAGTTCTTGCCCCTGACTCCTTGGATGGGTCCCTAGGGAAGGAGGGTGGGACACTGGGGTGATTTCTTTTCACATCATCTTGTTCACTGCAGCTCCTGACTATGACAGAAGCCAGTGGCTGAGTGAGAAATTCAAGCTGGGCCTGGACTTTCCCAATGTAGGTGCAGGGAAGGGGTGGTTTGGGGGAAGGTGAAGGCGATGGTGCCCCACCTCATCTCCTTGCCCAGCTGAGGGGGTTTGATGCTTCTCTCTCCTGCTCCATTCCTGGTGGTCTGCACTGTGTTCCTGTGACAGGCTATGTCCCAGCTCTTGCATTCAGTGTGCAGTGTATTCATGGAGGGCTTCCCATGCCAGGCACACTGAGTGGCAGCCTCCATGTCTGTTCAAAACCCAGGGGATGCTGGGATATCCATAGCCCATCTGGTCTTCCTTGCTTATCCATCCAGCTGCCCTACTTAATTGATGGCCCTCACAAGATCACCCAGAGCAACGCCATCCTTCGGTACATTGCCCGCAAGCACAACATGTGTGAGTGGGGCTGGCTGCAGGGTGGGGACGGTGGCCATCCCCCTGGTCTTGGATGGGGTGGGCTGCTGAGGGTCAGTCTGTGCTGCAGGCGGGGAGACAGAAGAGGAGAAGATCCGTGTGGACATTTTGGAGAACCAGGCTATGGATGTCTCCAATCAGCTGGCCAAAGTCTGCTACAGTCCTGACTATGTGAGTTGAATGCTCCTTGCTGGGCTGGACCAGGCAGGGTTTGGGTTAGGAGTTAGGTCTTTCAGATTCCCATCTGTACAGGTCCTTTTGAATTTCTTAGAACTACTTATCCTCCAGAATGTTCCTGTGCTGTGATCAGATACCAAACTGAATCAAATAAGCATTCTTATTAAAGACCCACTTATCATAGGGTATAGTCTAGACTCCCCAGAGTGGACATTAAGTTCTTAGATAGTGAAGTTATGTTTTCCCAATTTTCTCCACCTGTGCCCTCTGCTTAGATCCTCTACCATGGAGTTCATGTCCTCTCTCTGCTCATGGAATACACACATACTCAACTGATAGGAAAAGGGAGTCCAAAGAACCCTTCAGGTCCAACCTCTTCACACAGTGTTCCCAATACTGCTTTCACACCCACATGAGTCAGTAGATTTTCTTAATAGGTAGCTCAAGGGTCAGCTGGAAGACCTCTGTCCCTTTTCTTCCTTCCTTTCAGCCTCAATTACTCCTTGTTTTGTAGGGAACATGCAAATATATAGTCATTCCTCTGAAACCAGCTAGACTATGTGGGACTTCTGTCTTTCCCCCAACTACCTTAGTTCTTGCTTCTTTGAGTCTGCCTGATTTCAGACCCAGTGCCTGCCAGGTGCTCAGGGCACTCATTGGTTTGGACAGCAGGAAGGATAATGTCCCATTGTGGACAGTGTCTAATTCTCTGACTTCCTAGTGCTTCAGAAGGGTGGCTGGGTTAGGAGTCTGATAAGTAAGTGCTGAAACAGAAAATCAAAACCTGGGGGCTAGAGAGATGACTCAGCAGTTAAGAGCACTGGCTGCTCTTGTAGAGGACCTGGGTTCAGTTCCCAGTACCCACATGGCAACTAACAATCATGTCTCAGGGAATCCGATGCCCTCTTTTGGCCTCTGTGTACATTGCAGGACACAGGTGCGCTTACATACATGTAGGCAATATATTCATACACATAAAATAAATAAATATTAAAAACCCTGGACCCTGACCTAGTCTCCATCCTATGGGAGATGGCTGCTCACCCCTAGCCAGTTGGGGCCATGTACTGGTGGACCTGGCCACTCTGCCAGGGAACATGTGTCTACCTGACCACTCTGCCAGGGAGCTTGTATCTGGGGGAGGTGACAGCTGTTTTCTGCTATAGGAGAAACTGAAGCCAGAATACTTGGAGCAGCTCCCTGAAATGCTGAAGCTCTTCTCACAGTTCCTGGGGAAGCAGACATGGTTTGTTGGTGAAAAGGTAAAAGGGAAGGAATTGGGAGTTGTCCTTCTTTCCAGGGTACAGACTATCATGGTCACTCATTTTTGGCTCTTTGCAGATCACTTTTGTGGATTTCCTTGCATATGATATCCTTGACCTACACCATATATTTGAACCTAAGTGCCTGGATGCATTCCCAAACCTGAAGGAGTTTGTGGCCCGCTTTGAGGTGATGCCCTGATCCTCCCTCCTCTTGGATATCAGCTTTCTTGGGCATGGAGCTGTTGTGAAGAATAAGTAGCATGAATTCAGCAGTGGCTTTCTGCCAGAATGTGTTCAGCTTCTTATATCTTTGGGGTCAAGTTTATCATTACAACATTCCTACAGGGTGGATAGAATTATCAGTCCCATTGAAACTATAGAGGGTTGGGCACTTGCTCAAGGTCTCAGCTGTTGAGGCTGTGCCAGGCTCCCTTTGGACTTCCTGCTCTCAGGTCATCAGGTAATGACTGTCCCTATTCTGTGCAAGGAGAAAAGTCTCAGTCTCATGTGCAGCTTGGGTTAGGAGGGCAAGGCAAAGGAAGATGGTGTGACGGACCGTGATGTAGACAGTTATTTGTATCTGATCTGCTGAATGCTTTGCTGAGCCTTGTGTGGAGCTCCTGTTGGAGAATTTTATCCTGAAATGTCCTGTGCAGGGGACTTTCCTTTCCCCTCACCCCTGCTCTTTCTTCTTGTGAGTATCCCAAGTGCTCCATCTGGGCGATGGCATCACACACTACTTTTAACTTGTATTTGTTGATCTCTGTATGAGGCACATGCCATGCCTAGTGGGACAAGAAAAGATGTTCCTCACCTCATCTTGGGAATGAGTAAATCAGAGAGCAGCAGGCATTGCAGACTGGGAGGAACATATGGTACCACCTGGGTGCTGGGGAGCCAGGACCAAACATCACCTCATAGCTAGTCATGGATCAACCACAACATACTTGTTTGATACCCACAAAAACCTACATTATTAGAAATTTAGGAGTCGGAGGCCGTGATTCAATAGGGGTTTCAGTCTGAAACCCATTTCCCTTCCCTGTTCCTCATCAGGTGATGTGCTTTCTCAGCCAGTTCTTATCATTTAGTCCAAGCTAAGCGGCTTAGGGAATTATCTTTTAAGAGTTGGTGTGACCCCGGAAAGGGAAGGAAGGGGGCTGGGAGAGTTGAAGGCTGCAGTTTTAGGCTGCTGTGGGCTTGGTCTCTTGGATGTGGGCAGCCCTGGATTGCATTGAACCCTTCAGAAATATTCTGGACACTCATCATCCTGTTAGAGGGCCAATAGCACATGCAACTGGCAACTGTCATTAAGCCTGGTCCCTGTATGAAGGCTGGAGACCAGATTGGTTGGGGCTCAGGTGCCGAATTTTGGATTTTCTCCTTAGGAGAATGAGTAGAGCCAACTTGATGTTTCTTTTCTGATCTATCTGTATTTACAAACTTTCACCCAGGTTTTGCTGAGTGACTGGATAAGATAGGGGATATCTCCCAATGTGCCCCTGTGTCCTGCCACATCCCTCCTCTGTGTCCAGATGCAGGCATATGGAGCTTGAATGTGCAAAAGGAACATGTCTGTGTAGGCAGGGAGTGACAGCATCTCATAGGGAAAGGCGGCATGCACTAAATTGGAGAGCACTAAATTGGAGAGACAGAGCCAGGCTGATTCCAGACCTGTCCCACTTACCAACTGTGTGAGCAAGAGGAAGTTGCCTAACCTCTCCTGACCTCTTCAAACCTGAGCTCTTGGTTTTTCCTTCCAATTCTCAGGGACTGAAGAAGATCTCTGCCTACATGAAGACTAACCGCTTCCTCCGAATGCCTCTGTATACAAGGGTGGCCACATGGGGCAATAAATAGGGTCTTGAAAGGGTAGGAGGTGGGAATGAGGAGCAAGTTCTTGTGTTGCCTGGAGCTTTGGCAAACAGCTGGACTTTTGCTGAAGTCCTGATGCCACCTTCTCCTTCCCATCCCCAGAGGTGTCATGGACTCTCTTTTCTCTTACCTAATTTTTACCCATTCAAGCCCTTTAAAGCCTAGGATGCTGGTTTTCCTTCAGCAAAGTGCCCTTTTAACATGACTGTGTCCTCTATGAACACCCATCTTGTGGTCTTGCCCATCGATGGCTGTGCTGCTTTGAAGAGCCTATTTGGAACCCTCATCTCAAAGCTCAGCCTCTGGCTCCCCATGTTTCATAGGAGACTTGAGGTGCCTGGAGTGTAGTCCTGCTTCCCAATGAGGTCCCTTCCCAGCCCTGTCTGGGTCGCACAAAGCCTGAGCTACACTTGCTCTGGCTGTTGCACTCTCCAGCTTTCACTGCTCCCTCTAGGACTGCCTGGGGACCCTGGCAGAGGCTGTGTTCACAGGGACTCTGGTGGGATAGGCAGGGGTTTGGGCTTCCTGGTTCCTGTCTGACACCCTTACAGCAGGTAGCCACAGGAGGCCCTGGAGTGCTCAAATGGAGCCTTTTGGGGCCTGGAGCCTCCTTCTCTCTAGTGTTACTGAGGCTTGCTATGTGGGCCTGAGGAATGAGGACCAGGCTGGTAGGAGTCCCCAGCAGTGAGCCAAGATCCTTTCTGTATCCCAGTTACATCTATAGGTCTCAAGGACCCTGTCTATTCACTCTCTGATGCCTTCAGCGTGTTCTGTCTGGGCCTACTGCTCACCTGGTGTGGGGGACCATCTTTCTTGGTTAATCCCTTCTGTCCCTGAACTCCTGTAAAATGAATTTAATAAATTTCATCATGCTTTCATAAGTTCAGATGTCTTTTCCTCCCACTCACATCATTAATATTTTGGATGGGTGTAGGATTAGAGAGTGAATTTTTAGTTTTCCATTGGCCTCACCCTTTTTAGAAATGGCGCATTTCTGATAAGAATATTGATGCCTCTGTGATTAGAATCCCTTTGTACATGTTCTACTTTGATGCTTCAAATGGTTACCTTTGTCTTGAGGTCTCTAAGTCAAAGCCTATGGGGACCTGCAATCTGGTGTGACGCTCCTTCCTTCACTCCCTTTCACAGCTCAGATCCATCATCTGCATCACATTGTGCTGAGGTGATTATAAATCACACCTAGAGTGAGCTTCTAGCAGCTCAGTGAGTTCCCTCTATGATACTAAAATGAGTAGCTTAGTTTGTGACAGGTATCTTAGTCAGCTTTCTATCACTATAGCAAAAATACTTTGGATAATGAACTTCTAAGGACAAAAAGTGGATTTTTGTTGTTGTTGTTTCAGATAGTGTCTTACTATATACCCCTGGCTGGCCTGGAACTTGATATGTAGACCAGGCTGGTCTTGAACTCACAGAGATCTGCCTGCTTCTGCTTCCCAAGTGCTGGGATTAAAGGCATGTGCCAGCATGCCTAGACCAAAAGATGTATTTTCCTCATGGTTGTAGCCTGTGGTCAGGGGAGTCCTCTGCTTTCAGGCTTCTGGTCTATAGTGGAGAATGTGACACAGTCAACTGCCCATCATATGGTAAAAAAGCAGAAGAACGAAGGGACTAGGGTTCTATAAATCCCTTTCAGTGAGGATATAACTCCAATGAGTTAAGTACCTCTTATCAGGCCCCATCTGCTAAAGGTTCACCACCTCCCAACAGTAGCAACCAAACCTTTAACATAAAAACCTCTGTGGAACACTCAAGATGCAAAATATAGCAATACCTGATCAGGGAGGGCTCAGGCAGGAGATAGTATTGCTAATCAACAAAGATCTTGTCCAAAAACTATGAAGAAATACATCTTCAAAAGTGGATCAAGACTTACGTATGCATTTCCCCAAAGTGGACAGCCAAATAGCCAATTAGCACATAAAACCATCAAATACACCATTGAATAGCAGAGTAGTTACAAACCCTATTGGATCCTACTGTTTGCCCACCAGCATGGCTGACACCCAGTGGGCTGATGAAAGTTCTTAAATTTGTGGCATAACCGGAAGTCTGAGGGACAACTCAGACTTGAGGGGGGACAACCCATTGCTGGGGGACAACCACTTTGGAATGCTGACACAATCTTCTGAAGCTGAGCATGTACCTGCCTCTGACCCATGATTCTCTTCTAACAAGAACTAATACTGTTGTCTTCCAAAAGACACGTAAGACTTGTGCAAAAATGTTGAAAGCATCTTTCTTTTGAATAACCAATAGCTGACAGCAATTCAGATTCCATCAGCAGAAAGTAGACAAATGGACTGTGGTTTATTACTATAAACCCATTATTCATTATCATTCATTAATGATATGGTATATTACAATAAAAAGATAAATGTCTTAACACTATATATCACAGTATGGATAAACCTCACAGATACAATGTTGAGTAAAAGAATCCAGGCAGAAAAAAAAGTGCACACTGTTTCATTCCATTTACATGAAAATCAAGAACAAGGAAAAATCACTCCATGGTGATAACTGTCACATGAACACTGACCTTGGCAGAGGTAGACCTACCTTGATCTGGGTGGTGGTGACATGAAGCACACAGATGTTGAAACCCATAGGAGTTTGTATGGATGATCTGTGCTTGTAAGTTAAGAGTTCAGTGAAGAGTTTCCTTACCTTATTCATCACATCTGAATTGGGTTGTGTTTACTATCTGTCCACATTCATAGGATGTCAGTGTTAAGTGGGGCCTTTTTGCCCAATCTATCAGCAAGAGAGTATCTGGGAAGCTCCCTAGGGTGGGTGGGCATTAGAAGGGAGCTGTTGCTATAGTGACCTCCATCACTGTTGTCTTTGGCCCATGACAGCTATATGTCCTTGTTATAGTTAGCTTCAGTTATCAGCTTGACACACCTGGGAGAGGGAACCTCTACTGAGGAATTTCCTCCTTCAAATTGGATTGTGGGCATGTCTGTGGGGCATTTAAAAATTGCTAATTGATGTAGAAGGGCCCATCCCACTGTGGGCCTGAGCTATGTTAGAAAGGTAGGTGAATGTGAGCCTGGAAACAAGCCAATAAGAAGTGTTCCTTTGTGGTCTCTACTTCAGTTCCTGCCTCCAGCTTCTTACCTTGAGGTCCTGCCTTGGATTCCCTTGATGAACTATAAATTTATTCCTCAAGTTGGTTTGGGTCAGTATTTTATCACAGCAACAGAAACCGAACTTTTTAAAAGAGTGTTTATGTATTCAACTCTTGATCATTTCTTGTTCACTGGTGTTACAGAATTTTAGAATACCAGCTTCTGAGCATGACAGCTACTCAATGAATAGCTACTAAAGCAAAATACATTTCATCTTTAGGGGCATCACTTGAGAGCCTCTCGATTTTTATTTATGTCTACTTGGGCATACTCTTTGCTTTGTGTGTGTGTGTGTGTGTGTGCATGCGTGCGTGCGTGTGTGCGTGTGTGTGTGTGTGTTTTGGTCTTTTTGAAACAGGGTCTCCCTGTAGCCCCAGCTGTCCTGGAACTCACTATGTAGACCAGGCTGGCCTTGAACTCACAGAGATCTGCCTGCTGGGATTAAAGGCATGCACCACCACACCTGGCTCTTGTGTGTTTTTAAGACAGTGTCTCACTTTGTAGCTCTGGCTGGATGTATGGATTTCACTATCTTAAAATTTTTATTCAGAACCACGGTTGTCTCTAAACTAATTGCTTCCCTGGCTTTAGTTATTTTATTTGGGTAACCACCAAGTAGATACTTCAAAGCAAAAGGTAAAAACAGTTTAGTATTTTATAATAGATTATTTGGTACTCTTTAGATAGAACAATTTAAATTTTGGTGGCACCAGTAAGTCACATAGCTTTCTTTTTGAACTTCATAGGCACATGGCAGCCAACAATTTCATCTCATACTTTTGTAGTTTCATAATGCTTTGGAATTATTTACCTTGGCCCTTTGTAAATTATTTTTTGCACATAATTCCACCTTTGGAATCAATGTCTGGATCTCCCTAATGAAACTCTGTTTATTCAGCTCTTACCTGTTGCTTAGTCATTTCCCAGAGAAAGTTGAAAGATGAACCTAAAGCAGTCAAAACCTTTGTTTCCTTTAGGAATAATGAAGTAACTGTGATTCTGTTCCTGGGGGCTTTTTCTATTTGGAACAGACTGAATGGAGATTTAGAGGTAAGATGCTTTTTCTGTCCTTGATAAATCAGTTCATTATCAGTATTTTTGAGACTCTAATGGGAAAATCATTGGTCTGCCTGCACATTTTACCCAGTTTTATTGGCAAGAGGGTGTCTGTGAGGCTTCTAAGATGGATGGGCATTTGAAAGGAACTGGAATGGTGGCCTCCATCACTGCTGTCCTTGGCCTATGGAAACCATTATGTGCTTACATGTTCACTTCTTGACCACTCTTGTGTGGCATGGATTTTCTAGGGAGATGTCAAAGAAATGTGTATTCCCTCCAAATAGGGAAAGGACTGACAGACCATAGAAAGATTGACCAGATTGGTGAATAAATGAGTTTACTGATGTTACTTACAGAAGCATGGGTAAATCATGGGTACCACTGAAAAGTCCTACACCATAGAAACAGATATCTAGTTCTAGGACGACAAACTCAATTAAAAGTGCCCGACTTCAGCAATGAAGGAAAAAATCCAAGGCAATGATCAAAGGCATCATAGACGTCTAAATGGACTGTGTCTTGTTTTAAATGGTTGAGAGTATTAGTAATATTTGCCTCATCATCAGGTGTGCATGGACAGTATGCTTTCCTGATGACTGCATATGTGCCACTTTGGTATCTATAAGAACATTCAAAGCCATTCTGTTTGGTAGCACTACCTTCCTAATTTATGAGATTTCCTGATTTAGCCAAAACATACTCGAATGGGTGTGGTTCACTGTTCTAGTGGTAAAATTAGTACAATTCTTCATCTGACGAATAGTATCTAAAACTCCAGCTTTAGGTATGAAGTTAAGGGATATTCCCACCAAGCCATTTCCCTAGGGAAGTAAACCACAAATTATAGGGTGAGGGTGGAGGTAGAGGGCAGGGAATCATAAACGTGGCTAGGTAGTAAAGACTACCCCAGTATATAGCTACTAGTTCAATTGTATTTTAAATATGGCCACAAGTGGATTCCACATAGCTATCCAGCACCAGTGGGAAGCTTCTCCTATAACTAAGCAATATATCTCACTTCCCAGTCCATTCCGTGTCCCACATATGAACACGAACACATGTATATGTATGTATAATATTAGAACAGCTTCCTAGTGGCAGCCACCCCATATGCCTGAAGGGGATATTTTTGTTATATTTTGTCTTTCTAGACATAGCGGCATGGGTACACACACACACACACACACACACATTCATGATTTGGTACCATGTATGTTAATACATTTCAGACAATGGCAAGCTTTGGCTGGGATTTACCTATATATTCTTTTTAAATAGTCAAGGGCTTCTTTCTAGACTGAGCCCACCAATGGGTATGCTGTTCAGTGATCAGATTACTTACTTGGATACCCCACTGGACTTCGGGTAGTCCCATAAAATCATTCTACTTTGAGGGAATAGGGTCAGTATTTTTCAGACCATGTCTCTTTGACCCAAGAGGGGAAGTTGTCTATGTAGTCAGTCAGCAGTTTGCCCAATTATGAGCCTCTGCTGTAGCCATCACCCATTGTAAAAAGAAGTTTCCTTTCAGTATGGCCAAGAGCAGTGAAAAGCTATAGACTCAGACACAGGTGTTTAGAGGGCAATTTGATGGGCACATCATATTGCTCTAACAAAACAATAGCAGTAGCTTCCATGTTGGGGACTCTGATTTCATCAACCACAGA